CATTAGCCAGAATTACTGGTGACTTCGGATTAACGCCCCGTAGTCTCATCACTGTGGGAGCATCGTTGAGTTCGAGAACTGAAAACTCTCTGGTGGATCGAAACTTCATAAACAACAGATTGTACACGGTGTACGCGGTTTACAAGAATAGAAGGCACTACGCATGAGCACGTAGTTTGTTGACCGTGTTTAAATATTCCCCAGTCGACTCCATCACTGTAACTGTCAAGCTGACTCTTCCAGCCTTAAAGTACACACAAGTCAGTCATAACCACCGCCAATCGACTTACCAATTTGGCCAACATACCAGATTTCACAAGCTCCCGTCCAATCAGATGGCATTTCGCAGCGTAATGCCTAGTAAGAAGTTTTGCGTCTGCATATTTCCCAAATGTCCAATGAACTTTGTGATAAAAGTTTCATCAGAAGAGGATTTTCAAAGGTATTATTGGGTTCGGTAGCCGGTATTAACAGTTTAATATGCTGATTCCAAATTGCCCTCTTGGACTTGTCGGGAATTGTCAGTTTTCTTAAAAAGGAACGGAACACTGGAACAGGTATAAGCAAACAGCATGCTAGTCAAAGCTAGTTCTTAAGTCTGGAGCAAGCCGATGACTTAGTTCATGGCCATTTGTGCACACAAGACTGGTTGACATTGATGAATCCACAAAGCCTAACAGAAGCTAAGAATCACGCGTTGTCATTTTATGGCCGAAATGTGAACTGGTTTAGATTCATGCCTCTGACCAATGCCTGGAAGGTCTTGTGTTCAATGAGGCAAGTTTCCATTGCTGCCTACTGCGGTCGGCCGGTCGACCGATTAGTAGTACTGGTCCGCATAAATTCTTGTCTGTCAATGTGAGCTTCACTCCAACAGCATATCGGTACAGAGCATGTGAGACAGGGGCGTTGAGTAAATTATGCGTTTCTCTCCGAATATTAGTTTCCCTTTTTGTTGAGAGCTGGTTTAATTTGGTGTTTGAATAAATGTAATTGATTACTGTTGATATCCCATCTCTTTCGTTTGACACTGGGTTTCTTCTTTTTTACTGAATAAATAGGCTCCTTTTAAGATGGCATCACACTGTGAGCATTATTAATTTTCCATTGGCTGTTCGACCCTCGTATTCCTTGGTAATCATTCTTGAAATTAATCAGAACAAATATAAAGAACAAGGCTCATGCCGAAATTTCTTGAGCCATAGATGCGAAATTCGAGAGAAGCGTGCATATTCGCCCATCCATGTGGATTTGCTTCACGCAGAACATTGAAAGGTACAATTCAAGTATCTTTGTATACAATGGACCTGAAAGTTTGGCGCTTCGAAGGGTACGGAATGACTCAGACGAAAACTGTGAAATAGTCCAAGTAAATCCAAGAAGCAGTGTGGCAAATGAGGCCTGTTTTCTAAGGTTTCAAACAGCACAGTTCAAAATGGTTGCAAACAGGATAAACCGTACAAATTCTGTGGGTACTTGACCACATAATGAATAATCGTATTTTCTCATTTAGTAAGCCGCTGGTAGAAAATAGAAGGCTCATGTAATTTTCTTTCTTGAGCACATTTTCAAGGATCTCGATCCGTACATCATGTACAGACATTCCTTTTTTTGTTCCAGAAGGGTTTGGTGAATAATATGCATTTTTCAACTGGGCAACGTTCCGCTTTCGACACAAACGTTTCGTTAAGCCAAATGAGCAGGTTACCAAGTTGACCAGGTTTTAAGGCAGACGGAGAGCCATTAGCACATTAGATCAGTGTTGAGTATGAGTTAAAATGTATTGTCGGTTAGCGTCGTTACTTAAATTTTATGGTTGATAAGTTGGGGGAGTTTCAACTAATTTTTCATCGGGTTAGGATCCTCGACCTTTGTTAAGAGGACTACCTCCAAACGAACAAATCCAATTAACTAACGATTTGTCTTGTATACTGAAACTCTCTTTCTATATTTCAGCCCCTCACTGACATCCTATTGGACTGTTAGCTCTTTTTATATTCTGAATTCCATACCACGGAACGACCCACCTGTTTGTAGTATAACTTCCTCGAAGTTGTTTGTCTTCTCCATTCCGGTGATCTAACGTGTCTGACTGATATAGCAACGAAAGGGATATAACAACCTTTTGGTTTAAGGCGGTCCAAATGATGATTCACTTTGACTGCCACTGGTAAATTTTGTTGATTCATGTGGGTTTGCAAGTGCTACGCAATTTATTTCGGGGGGAAAGGATGTGGGTGAGATTAAGTGCACTTGAGATCTAAGCTACTTCTGTTGAGGATTCTTCTTTCTGAAAACTACACACCGTCTCAAAAACCTCAACATTTTCTGGATTTATCTTTGTGTCCTGTGTTCAGTGCATGTTACGCCGTTGCTTATTCTTTCAGTAACTACCGATACTCATCTGCGTTTCTCGGTATCTTGTGCATTTTTGTCCTGTGCTTTCCCGTTCTGGTGTGAAATTCCCCGACCGGCTTTCCTATCTGGACCCTGGTTTAGTCGTTGCATTTATTTTTTTTAGACACAGTCCTTGGCTGTATTCGCTGTGGTGGTCTTTGAAATGCACCAGTGCAAACGAAAATGCCGTTCTACGGAAAGGTACTCTCCTGTTAGCCGTGTTTAGAATCCTGTAAATGACGTCCAACGCCCTGGTTTATACGGAATGATAGCAGTCTCAATCCATTCCCTGTTAGTTTTCGTCACTTATACCAATGCCCTTCGTAATTAATGCCTGATCAAACTAGCTGGATATCCACTATCCTGAAGCTGGTTCTTTACTTCCCATCAACTTCTGTGCATGGGGCCCTCACACGCCTAAGCATTGATGAGGAAGTACTAGCGAATACCGATTCTGGATGGGCAGAGTAGTAGTTGAAATTCGCCCCACTGTCAGTTTGCTTCTCATACACTCCGGTCTTCAGTTTCCTTTCGACCTTGTGTGTCATTCAGTGTAAGAAGGGTAGTGTACCTGAAGTTGACTCTCCATACTGAATTTGATGTGTGCATTTGAGTCGTTCAGATAGTTGTAAAATTCGACGAACTTGTCTCATTCAATCACGACGAAAGTTTCATCTGCATAACGCCAGAATATTTTGGTTGGGTACGGGAGTCCGGCTAATGCTTTCTGTATAAAATCTTCCATAAAAATATTTTCTAAAACCGGGGATATTGAAGATCACGTTGCTAGACCTTTATCTTGAGTGTAAACCACGGTGTCAAAAACGAATCGGGTGAGATTCAGACATTCTTTTACGCCTTCCACTATTTCATCAACCTTAAGCTATACCCGTTCTGAAAGGGTGGCGTCTCCTAGGAGCAGTCGCTTGTCTGTTTCCGAAGAGTGCCCTTCTTGGCACATTTTTATATACAGAACTGACGTCGCAATGTCACCTGGGTCCATATCAACACCTGCTACTCTGTTGGCAAAGTAATATCAATTCTTAATGTAAGTACTAGATTCTCCGGTGAGGAGTTTTGGAATATAGGCAAAGAATCTGGTCAGCTCATAGGGTGGAGAGCCTATTCCGTCTACTATCGATCTCACCGGGACATCTAGTTTATGGATTTTCGGTAGGCTGTAAAGCTGTGGTTGGATTGTGCTTTTGAGGCACAGTCGGTACCAGTTACCTTGCCCTAAGCGGTGTCTTACGGACTTTAAGTACTTGCCAACTTCAACTTGACTCCTGTTCATATATAATATTCTCACTGTCTACTGATGGAAATCCTCAACTGGGTGTCCTTCACCTTCTGTAGGTAATCGCCCTTGTTCGTGACACCAGTGACCTTACCCTAATGTGCCCTTGTAATAGCTATGTTCTCCACCTGTTTCAAGTTGTTTACTGCTCTCCACTCTGTTGGTGTAATGTTTCGAGCTCCTGGCTGCCGATACTTAAGGACTGTGACCAGCTGTACCCGCAGGCTCTGCTTACTTAACGGTCTACGGTAGTAGGCAGCTCCGGCTTAGTCAGGGGCTCACTAGAAAGCTCAGTCTTGAGAGACAAGTTTTTGAGCTTACGTACTTGTGTTTATGTACTGATGTCCTTGGATGCCTTGTACTTCGGTCGCTTTGATTTTGAGTGACTGGAAGTCTGCGGGAGAGGGCATGATCCGAAGATCCTGGTTGTGCCGACGTGCGTGGTGACGGATATTACATAAACGCTGAGTATTTCTCTGTCTGACTTAAAACCTGGCCAGTGATCTGCTTAATTGGCTTGTTGAAGCTTTTGTGTCAGAAGCGAAACGTTGCCTAGTTACAAACTGCCGACTGTTCTCAAGCAGTTTTCAGCAACCTTATGAGTAGTGTATTACCTCTATAGAATTGGAAAATTTCGAACTTTTGAGCAGGGAACTAAGGTTCACGTCACAGAGACTGATTACCGGGACGGTGGAGATCGCCAGGTGTCCCAGTGTGAATAGAGTAAAGAGCATAGAACTGGCAAGAATGTGGACAATGTTTTAGATCAGTCGAGTTGATATGTGGTGGTGCTGTGGTTATCAGAAAGAGAAGTTTTTACAGAAGTAGCTTAAATCTCAAATACATGAGACTAACCGACCTAAAATTCCACCTAATGTTACCATCCACCACTAAACCCCAACCTGTTCATCGTTTACTGGTGCCAGTCAAAGTAAACCATCACTTTTAGCGCCTTGAACCAGAAGATCAAGAACCTGACCCGATAAAAAACTAGTTGAAATTCTCCCAACCTATCAACCATAAATTCTAGGTGACCACGCTAATCGACCATGCCTACTAACTCATATTCAACACTGATATGGCATGCTAATCGGAAGAGATCTTGCTGATTGGCTCCCCGTCTGCCGTAGAACCTGGTCAGCTTAGTAACCTGCTCACTTGGTTTGACGAAGCTTTTGTGTCGAAAGCGGAAAGTTACCCAATTAAAAACGGCCTATTTTTACGAAGCTCTTATGAAACACTGAATTCCCAATCAACCCCAATTTTTTCCAATTAATTTAAAAGTTGTTTCTTTTGTTTCCTACAGAAGGCAATCCCTGTCGTTGTTGATCATAGTGATGAAAACCAAATCACAGAGTTGTTCAACCGTATCCGACGGGAACAGGCTGGTCGCTTAGATGTGCTGGTCAATAATGTCTACTCAGCTATACCATTTTTGAAAGAGTCCTTTGGTAAGACCTACTACGACATCGATTCGCGTAGCCCTGGGGAGGCCTGGGATGAGGTGAATAACGTGGGTCTTCGAAACCACTACATCTGTGCAACACTGGCCACGAGAATGATGATAGAATACCAAAAACGAGAGCTAACTGGGCGCCCCTGTTTAATTGTCAACGTTTCATCCTTTGGTGGAAGCTGCTATTTGTTCAATCCGCTTTATGGATGTGGTAAGAAAACTGGTTAGATGCCTTCTTGATCTAACGCCACTTATAAACCTGGTGGAAACCCGCGATGGTTTTTTTATGTACTGGCAACGAATTCCCTTTAGTTTTATTTCTCGAATGAACTGTACGCATGTGGCAATAAAAACTGGGAAACTAATTCGGTTTCAACGGGGGATTGTGCGAGGATTTAACTGAATCTGCCCTGTATAGCATTCTTCATCTAAATGTGCTGTGTAAAGGCCGCCTTGTGTTTCGGTTAGGTGGGTATTCCAGATATCCACCTATTCGGTGTCTGATACGTAATTTAAACCATTCAGTTGAAGAGTACCGGGATTACTACATCTTATTTTTCACGTGTGTTTCATCCCACGTAATTTAATTGCCTAATTTTATGAGCAAGAAGCTTTCACTTGGGTACTGGCCCTTCAATAAATGCATCTGATGGGTAGTTACCCCAACTCATCCCGAACAGGGAGCTCTCCATATAGGAAGCACTTCGTTTCAGTCACTAGCCAGTCAGAATATCTCGTCCACATCCACCTTCTCATTTTCCACAAGAGATAGCATTTTCCCGGACTTACCTAACGCGAAAGATTCTTGGCGTGCCAGCCAACGTCCGGGTGCCATGTCTAGCAGGATAGGTCAAATCGGTTTTTGACTGCTTGTTTTTGGAGGCCAGTGACTGAATATGTCGTTTTCTTAGCAGCAGTCTGTATCCGTGATTTGCAGTTACCAACCAAAAGTTGATAAATCTTACCAGCATCGGATAGAACGAGTAAAGCCTTATCTGAAAGTCAGAACAGTCCAGTTACCGACCCGCCGGTCTTCAGGTCACTGATAATGATATTACCCAGGTAGTTCATCCAAGCAAACTGGTGAAATTTTCTGGTTCTGGTGCCTTGACTCCCATGTTAGTACGGTTATCCTCAACTTAGTGTGTTACGCGCACCCCTTACATGGTGTGAAACAACAACAACGTTGCGTTCGGAGGCCTATAATATCTCCCAAAATTGAGATTCAAGTCATTTTGTCCAAGATGAGAGAAAGCAAATAGTCTTGAATTGCGATACGTCAAGAATTCTGTCTAATTTTCACGGTGGATCTCGCTTGATTATCGTCTGGCAATCCTACCTCCTCACCGAAACCAAGCAACAATACCACAGGCTAGATTACCACCCTTTGAACACCAAAGGGTCAACTTTGTTATCAAAACAAGCTATCCCCCACAGGCATGCACATTCGCCGCATGAGCAATCGTTACATTTGTGGGATGTTTGTGCACTCACCAAGAAAACGTTCTTCTACATTTGAGACGGAATAATCATAGACCTCAGTTTGTTTCAAATTAGGGCTTAAAATAAGTCAATCTCTAGGGAAAGCGGAAAAGTAGGTAAGCTAACAAATTTCACATTGGTTTTGGGTAATTTTACTCGCACTGGTTAGTTTGTCACCAATGTTAATCCCTTCAGGTTCTAAATGTTTCGAAACCAGTAGCCTAACAATGTCATTCCTCCATGAGGCATTGGTGCAACCAGACACAGCGCATTCTGAGATTGGTATCTCCCGTGGTATCAAGGTGTACCAAGTCTTATCGAAGACATCACTTCTCTTGGAAGTGATACTGGCGGACAATTTACGATGAGGCTTGTCATTTGTACGGCAACTTCGGTCGTACTTCAGTATGTGGTAAGGTACTGGACCAGTCTACAGAAGCCACAGCTGTCGAATTGCCGTCGGATATGATAAAATTAGCCGCGTAGTACCTGTTGGCCGTCATAGATATTCCACACAGTTGTCCATCTGTAATGATGTCCAGAAGATATCGTTACTTCAATCTGATATCGATAGTTAGGTGCACGCTTAAATATTGGTCAGTTTGTTATTCATTGATTCTCGTATTTTATCGGTTATTCTTATCCCATCTTGGTTCCCTGATTTTTTTAAAGGCGCAGCCTATTCTTGAAACACTCATTTGCAAAATATTTTTCCGTAACGGGAGACTCAGCTGAATCCAAAGTGAATTTCTCATTTATGGGTCCTCAACTGAACGAGATGTACAAAGGCCGCCTCGTGTTTCAGCTGGGACTATATTCGATATACCGCAGGGGAACACAATGCCCATAAGATAAATGAAAACTCATCTACAACCCACGATCACTTCCACCCTTCTTGGGGCTCCTNATATATATATATATATTATATATGTCGCTCGCCCCACAAGTGATTGATATATGCAAACGCGGCTGGTAATTTATAGTGGAGTTGCTTATTCCGTTTTTGAGGGTTACATATTTGAAGTAGCTTCTTACGCTTCTCACCTACTTCTAGTTGTCTCTGTCGAAGCTATAGGGAGAGAGGAAGAATGTCCCGTCAGTCTAGTACCATCATTTCACATCTTTGTCAAAAGCAACTTAACCCGAAACGACGATCAAAAGTCGTTAGCTTGTCAGCGTCACCTTTTACTCACTTGCAAGTCGTGCACATAACCTAAGCCGCTTGACACCGCACCTAGTATGAGTTAAAACTTCAGGTGAGTGGAAGTATCACATGCTTTAATCAGGACGTTATCGATACGGCAATATTTAATGACCTTAGCGGGCTCCACTTTTGGGTGGCGAAACGCAACGAGCCTTCGCCATACGTTCAAAACTAGCCAAATATGTACGTACACAGCGCTCAAGATATTAGCGAATTTTAGCGAAAATCCACTCCTGGAGCAGAGTTCTACAAGACAGTTGTATTGACGGGATTTACAGCACCTTTGTTTTCGAGGCAGACTAGGAAAGTTAGTGTGGTACAGATACAACTGTGAGGGTAAGGTGGATATAGGGTTATTGTGACTTCGACTCAGTCAGAACTCTCCCTATCCCTCGACTGCTTGTGTAGTGGTCTTCTTCAGTGAAACTTGAAGACTGTTAGGAATTTTGGCTAAGCTGACATTGGCATACCTGCTACAATTGACACGATGAGCCGTCTCATATATGGGGACGTTGTGTGCGATGCCAAAGTTACTGAGTATCTCTTTAGCGGTCGAGCTATATCCTAGTCATGGCACCGTGTACTTATCGCCGAATACTGATGCTGAAAGTTGATTGAAGGCTGGTGCTTCCTGTTGTCTGAGACAATCAATCTATCTGGATATTTCGGATACTGTTGGTGGGTTTGAGCCGACGGTGTATTGTGCGAACGTGGCTGATTTGGATATCGCTGAGGATACGTGACTGGTACCCAAAGTAGTCTGTCCAATGTTCAGTGCGTCTAGATGGGCTGGTTGTGAGTACACCACTTTCTTCATAGAATGGCTTGTGATCGTTTTCTTTCGTTTACAATGATGTCAGCTTTTTGGAGTTACAAGTAGCAGCTTCAGCTTGCCTCTTGGCCACACGACCCAACTATCACGCACCACAGCCTTTCTTTAGGGAAGCCTTCAGCTGTAAATTGATTAGCTCAAGAGCCACCTAGTGCTCATTATGAGCAGAGCTGCTAAGCACGGAACGATCTGACAGACCAGGATGATATACAGGAAGTACTCCGCTGCTGAGTCACACAAATGAGTACTTGCAGTCAGTCGAGCATCTTGGATGCGTACCTAACTTTCATGGTGTCATCAAAAGTGTTTTTTTTGTGGAAGCTAGTTCGTCTAGGTATTTTTTGTCCAGAAAGTTTGAATGGTAGGAGCACCAAAAATAAAGTTATTCCATGAGTAACAAGATAATCGAGAACTGTGTGCATAAATTTTGCGTTATGCAAAGAATGATCTAGTCATGTACTACTCTTAAGGTTGCTGAAAATCCATCGACAGCCTGAGAACATCATAAACGAGAGATTCCTGGGTTCCAGGTGAGTCTCTCGAAAGAACCAAATTAGTTTGCGAATGACTGCATATTCGCTAATGATCTAGTCATCTTCTCTCAGCTGTTAGATGAAGCCAGAATTCATACACTACAAAATAGAAGTATAATCTTGAGTATATGTGGTTGTGTGGTCAGGATAATATCGACTGTGCATAACAAAGAAGGGGTCTTGATATGAAGCGCTTGAGAGAATAAGTCTTACCAATTAGAAAATAGGTTTAAGCGAAGAACTGGCAATCTCATAAGGATCGGTGGCTGATTTCCAGTTCATATGCCTTTCGGGTAGAGCAAAGCTATAGAACATTTCTAGCAGTCTACCGATTTATACGCTCATTGGTGAGTAACATCTGTTTCAATGTCTGTCTGGAGTCACGAGTCGAGATTGAAGTGTACTGACTACCTAGATAATGTTAGTCTAACTTGTCGCACTAGGATTTTTCTAGGTAAGATGCTGATGATATGTGAGGATACTTGGTCAGTCTGGCTAGCGCTACTATGTCAGCGTTTTGTTTGCAGTATTCCTTTTCCACAGCTATACGACACTGAAATGTAACAACATTTCTCCTGTTTATTGTCGTCGATCATCAAAAAGAAGCCACAAATCTTCAGGACACGAACTATGCGTTTGCGTGTGCAGGTACGTAATTCCGAGAACCCGTTGGAGGTGACACCTTACATGCGAACGTCACTCTAAATGGATATCTCTTATTTGTGGGCTTCAGCGTACCCATACAATTCGATGATGCCGTCACATCCAGGTTGAAAAAAGGCTTGCAACAGAACTCTGAATATTCGCTAACCGATTTTGATCGTTCCCGTTTACGTCGGAGTTAGGGGTTTGCTTGGGGCATCATATTCTCTTCTGCAACGACCATCTGTGGTTGTTCGTTTGCTTGTTTCCAGTAATTCAACCATAGTTTACCGGCAGACCCAACTTGGATGACAAGTATTCCTAATAAAATATAAAACCTTTCAGCTGCAACACACTTTCGGTGCCTAGCTGCCATGTCAACTGAAAGGGTTGGGATGTTACCAGGTTGCCCGAGCCTAGGCAGGTGAAATTGAGATGCAGAGGCCGGATTCGAACCACGTGAGACGCGGGGGCCGGATTCGAACCACGTCTATACATGTATCGCAATATCTCGAATATCGTACCAAGGAGAACATTAGGCGGCCTGGTGCATCACACATCACAAACGAGAGAGCGAGCTTGATTCCACCTGAGTCAAAACTAAATTAGTATGTCAGTAAGTGTATTTCGCTATCTTCACTATATGTGCTGAGTCAAAACTAAATTAGTATGTCAATAAGTGTATTTCGCTATCTTCACTATATGTTAATCGTCATGGCTTCCCAGTTTCTGCTTTTTAGAAAACCGGATATCCCAGTCTAATTCCACCTAAAATCCTTCTATACTGTTACGTTTAGCCGTTCACATTGAGGAACATGCTCGTTCCTATTATGACTCTACTTGGGTTTTGGCTGTAGTCTGGATCTGTTTTTGATCTGCTGTGCAGTGAAAGCCGATGTAATAGGACGCTAAAGTTTCCCACAAAGTTATCTCGTTCGTGTAATTTTGCACTGATACCGTGTGGTCCCACAGCTGGTCAAAGGGTGTTGACATTTGGATTCGTGATGTCGCCCTTCATTTGTACTCGCTCTTCATTTATTTTTCACTTTATCAGGGTGCAAGTCAAGAGCACTTCTTGAAATGTGCATAATAGTTTGCGCTCTTGGCAGGCTAACTTTTTGATCTATTCTTTGAGGCCATCGGATGGTGGTTGGGTGCTATATTTTGCTTACATTGTGTTCCTAATTGAACCTGTATCTTAATTCATCTTAATTACAGGCAAAGAAGCCCTCGATAGGCTTACTCGTGATATGGACATTGAGTTAAAACGTAACAAGGTGAACATATGCATTATCAGTCTGTGGCCCGGAGTAGTCCGTACGGAAGAATTAACGCAGATGGCGTCGGACATAAATGATCCGTTTTTTGATGCTTATGGTAACTCTTCTTTGTGTAAGTTCGCACTCCTGTGACTCCCTTTGTGCATGTTTGAAATGAGTTTAAATGGCTTCTACTTGGTCGTCGTTTCTTGATGATACTGCTGTTCGACAGATGCATGCTTTTTTCATACGCTTGTCATCAAAAACACGAGTGGAGCTCAGTGCATCTCTACACCATCCAAAGAGTAACAACCGAAAGCCTGCTCGATAACCGAAAGTGCGACGACTAGACCTTGAGGGTTTCACCACGTCGAAGTGCATGAAGGACTAGCGAATTCGGCAAATTCCCCAAAAGTAATTTAATATAACGACGAATAGTCACAACCCCGTTGGGCGGCATCTCTGTGGCAGTTACTTCGACCGTAGTCCGGTCACAGGCGGTGACAACGGTGACAACTGCATTACTATTGCCCCGTTATCCTGTCCAATGGTGAACGGTGACCTCCATGGCTCTTTCAGATACCAGCTGTCAGTTGCACCAAGCAGAACCCTGTGATTAAATCATTTTTCATTTCTTGCGAGCAATGACAGTTTTCGTTCAGCGCTTCAGCAAGTTCCAATTAAATGAGAAAACACGTAGACAAGAGCACGGGTGTACTGTGTGCATCTGGCAGGTGAGCAAACGACTGAGCCACATGTCCAGTCATCCCACAAACAGTTCTCTAATGTATTGAACGATGGACACGCACCCTTGCATCCAAACAGCCACTACAGTCGCACTTCGCTGTGTTGATGGATGGGTTCTTTCAAGACCATCCTACAAATATGAGGTGATCTTTTTCAGGTGGCTGCCTTAATGACCTAGAATTCTGTTTAAGTTGGAAGACTATCATTAAAACGTAGGACCGGAAAGCGTAATCTGGACTCCATATTAGATAGGGACCAGGAAGTCCATTGCTGGCCTAAGGATTCTCACCTTGTTGTTTAACGGTTCAAGTCGCAACTGAATAGTGGATCGTTTATTAGAATGACTTATTCTGATAACAGTTTTGATTTTTTTGTCCATTCTCTTCGCACTTGTAATCTGTCTGTGAAATATCTTCTTATAGGGATACTATTTACCGTCGTGCTTCCGATAGTTTGAGTTTGAAGCTTTGGGATTAACTGCCATACACGATACACGAATCTTTAGTACGTTGCTGTAATTTCCACTAGCAACGCCGAAAATAGTTAAGTGAATTTTTTGAAGCGCAGTATATATCTAACTATAACAATAGAGTGGTTAAAAATGGGCTGGTCATACCAGGCCCCAGGGCCTCCTTTCACCATGAACTTTCACTAAATCGGTCTAATTCAGTCGACATTGGAATACACTAGCAAGGTCTGCTCCATATGAACGTAAAAACAGAGAGTGACTTCGTATAGACACAACACTCTACTCATAAGGCTGCTGGAAACTCTTTGACTTTGGTGCTTTTCAAATTTCCCTATCCTAGCTTAAATGTCTGTGGTAGTTCTACCTGGTCTTGAGCACCACCCGACAAACTGGCCGGTAACAAAAGACAAGGTTGTTCAACCGTTCACTCACTCAACCGTTCACTATCACTTCTCTTCAGATGGTTTACCACGAGTCAGTACTGTTTCAGCGGCTACCAGTGGTACGATACTTGAGTAACCGTGATTCCTGTGTTGGCCAGTTGTCATGAAAGAAAAGTTCTCCACAAAACTCCCAACGGATTCATGCTCCACCACCTTGGAGTGTAAAAATTGTACGACTTTTTGGTGTGACAAAGTATTATAGTTTTGAAACCAGACATGCTGGGGTAGATATCAGGCTTTGGATATTTCCTGAATCCCATTCAGTCAGCTCGTACATGTGTAACTCATACGGCGGTGGAAATTGATGCAGTGAATCGCTATCCATTAAACCGGCGCTTGTGAATTATAATCTATCCTCTTCTGTGGTGCGCCAGAACGTCAAAAACATTAGTGGAAGATACGTGGAATATTCCCGAATTGAATTCATCTTCTCTAATTCCTATCTATTCCTCATCATTCTCCTCGTCCGAAACTTTCTAAACCAATATTTTTTTCCTCGGAAGCTGAATCGACAGAACTGGTTGGACTGGCCGTCGCTGCACTGACCCGCGAAGACCGTTCAACTCTGATGGCTCGTTCTGGAGGCATCGTACTGGTGAGTGATGTGGTCGCTAAGCATGGCCTCCGGGAGCCCGACGGATCAGTCCCTACAAACTACCGATCGCTGCAAGTATTGCTACGTCTGTCTAAGTATCGTCTGGCTGGATTGGTGCCTGGTTTCATTCTAGTACCAAAGTCGTTGTTTGCATGGTTTATCGCCAAGCGTTAAAGTCACTATTTTCTTCACATAGAGATCATATTTTCTAACAATGCCGACTATCTTATGATGTAATTTGCTGCTTTATTACTTATTTTTATTTTCACTTTCAACATCCATGTTGTATGCTCTTATTCGGGAATAAACATGCACATCCACACTTGACGTTCGATTCTCATCATTCCAATTTTTATTTATTTTCATGCTTTGAATGGGTTGGCCTGGTCGTCTTTTCTCTTTTGTTTATTGACTGATTTACAGGTGGCCACACGCGATTGCAGCGCAGTCCACCTAGCCCCCAGACCATCAGCACCCCGTCTAAGCAGAGTGGATGCTCCAAGTTTAATGAAAATAACGGTTGAGCTCCGACCTTATTACACGTAGATTTTTGGGTAATCGCTGTTCTTCGACCAATGTTGACCGAGTAATCATGCTAACAAAATTGACCCGAACCTATTTCACTTCACAAACCGGGAGGGCAGTGTAAGTGAAGCTTACTCAATATCCCTTAAGTGCTATTCACGGATAATATTTGTCATAACTCAACTCAGAACATATATCTATTCAGATACATTAGATAGTGCGCTGTTTGGATAATAGCTGTCAGCGAACACCTGAAGCCCAGTGTTTTCCGACAAATTCACATAAAAGTGGGTTACACATTCATTTGGCCACTTCTCTGGGAACATTATGTGCCCTGGTCACATTTTTCAACTGCAGTTTCAGAGTTCTATCTTTTAGGCGATTAATACAGACTTCATGATTTGTGATACAAGCAAGTAATATATATATATATATATATATATATATATATATATATATATATAGCGGGAATAAGCAAACAGCACACCCTCTCCACTATCTATTTGATACCACTCCATTTTTCTATGGAAATGAGAGCGGTTTTGATCTTTTTCTGCGCACAACCCAAATCCGTGTTCAGAAGTCGTCACATCAGAATCACTTGTGTTATTCTCGTGCTCCTGATAGGGTAGCACAAACAGCAGATTAAAAATGAGCGGATTTTGGTTGAACGAAGGCCGACAAAAGCACTGTAAGTGACTGATTCATTCACAGTTGTCGCTGCATTATGGCGATTTATCTACTACGGGTTGTTTTCCATAAAATAACCGGACAACTGACCAGCCCCGCTGACTCTTCCAGTGCCTGACTCGCTGTTTGCGTCGTCTTTTTTCACCGGAGGCAGAGTTGAACTGTGTAGATACTGCCCTCGTTTAGCCACCATAGTTGCACTTTTTTGGTCTCACTGAGCCAAAAGTGGCAAGCGGTTATCCTGCTTTATGGGAGTATTTCCGACGTTGTTGAATATGGGTAGCTCGGTTGCGCTGTTGGTAGTTGATCCGTTCACCGAGCTTGGCAACTGGATCACAAACGTTTTATCACCAATCGAGGTAACGCCGCCATTGCGGAAATGAGTGAGTAAATTCTTACCCCTCTAAGGAATATCCGATAGCTCCCACGCTCCATGACCAAGACAGCCCGTCGATGAGAGAATTGCATGTCTCCTGGCCTCCACTCGACAACAACTTCCCTCCCTCCAGGAGTGCCTGCGACTAAACGCATTAACACGCAGCGTACCCTACCAATCACGACTGAAATATCCTGAGACTTGGAGCCTCGATAGACAGAATGATAGGCTTAGGATTGGACTGACGATTACCGATGCTTACAACCAAGAAAATATGGCAGGATTCTCGACGAAGAAAGAGAAACACTCATGGATACAGTAGGCCTGGACTCGTAGAACAGCTCGTTCCAGCTATAGACCGCAGTGGGTGTCTGTTGCTCTGCCTCTTCAGCGCAGCTCACGTGCTGCATAATTCAGTGAGTTGCAAGACAGTAGCTGATTTGGTTTTTTTGGCTGTCAACAATTTGTAGCGAAGGGGCCCACCTGATGGCAAGATCTTAAATCGACTCCTGTGGCGAATTCTCATTCACACATGATCGCTTTTTGTATGTAAATTTTTCGCATAGGCATTCATGTGTACTGTGTAGACATATTGTGTTATGGTAGGCTAGAATGTGATGTGACGATACACCGTACTATGTTATGGTATTGTTTCTAGCTGTCATAGGAATGAATGCATTATACCAAAGTGATTACGAGCTACTTTCAGGAGCAAAGTACTTCCAGTATGAGATGGACGCCAATTTGATGAATTTTTTCAAGCATCATTATTTACCATCTCCCAGAAGCAATAACTTTTGTCGGCTTCATATTATCTGATTTCTTCCATCGCTTTACCTAAGAAAAATGTCCACGATTATCACTGCCAGGTAATTCTTGCAAATGCTGCTGGAATGCGGTATCTTGGATGCTGAACAAGTCATGTACTCCTGCTGTATTTTTTACTGCAAACAAGTGGATGACGTAAGAAGGACCACCCTCTTTCATTGTCTTATTTCCACCATGTGATTAACGGGGAGAGGAGGGTAGAAAATATATATTGTAGCGAGTCGTGAAGTTAGTCCTCCTACTCACTAAGATTTCGGTTTTGCGTTGCCCCCAGATTTTAGCTATTCTCGGATGTCTTGCAGCGTGGTACGGCTCAGAACACCTCATCGGTCCATGAGCTTCATCTTGAGAAGGGTGTGAAGTTTTTTCCGAACGAACATTCTTTAATATCGGTAAAAATACCAGAAGCATATCATATGGTAGCTCCATTATGTTACCAAAACCAACTCACAGGAAGAGCACGAAGTCAAGGATAGCTTCTCACTAGTCAGCCAGAAATTGGGTGAACAGCTCGTCAGTTAGCGCTGACAAACTGGACCTGCCTTCACATCGATTGGCGGGAACCGTCACTTGATCAGAAGGAAATCGATCGTTTGCTATCACTCCGTGGGACTTTTGTATACCACAATCGTCACTCTGCAGCAGACGAGTGGTGATGATTGTGTAAAACCGACGCGCTTATTGCAATCTGGCGATTTCCAATAATTCATCTACCAGCGGATGCAAGGCATCGCTGTTACCACAGTCTAAATATTGTCGTCGATGCGCAGTTTTAGTGCGTCCAACGTGACGTGCATCCCATTCGCATCTTTATTAAACTCAGGAAGAATTCGAAAACGTTCTCCTAGGGTATCTTACCTACTCTGGATTTGAGTGTCCATCACTGTACCGCATTCACCAAGGTGATTTGATGATACTTTATAGCTTCTTACCGGCGCGTGAGTAGCTGAAGCCTGTGATCTCCAAATGGGCCAGTTCAGTCTCAGTAAGCTGTGAACATACGAAATTGCCAGATGCATTCTTTGTGTCTGATCTCATAAGAGTGCTATAGATGGACCAACGTAACAGACCACTCTAGCCAGTATATCTCATCGGTTGAGCAAACCACTCGTCACTGAAGGTTGGAAGTCAGAGAGGGCTGGTGATGCAAGGTGTGAACCGTGGTAAGTGGGCTGTAATCGAGTCTTGGCAAAGCAACCAGTAATCTTTAGGGTGGTTTAATAAGCTTCATGACCTGCTCACTAGGGCCCAATTAGGAATCGTATGACAGCGATGAAGCTGTTCGATGCAACATACAAACGGTTCAACTGGCCGAAATAAGGCCACGAGCGCAAGTGTAAAGTTTTGTTTTGTACAAAGTCATAGAAAACACAAACACTCAATTTTGTTAAGAGGATGAGCAAGTCCACAAACAGTTTGTGCAGAGCCGTAAGCACATCTCCCTGAATGTACTGTACCAGCACGCCCAACCAGTGACCTATAAGTGTCAGGTCAAGTATATGCAACTGAACATGTGCGAAGGGGCGTGTGGTGGCCCGAACGACTCAGGAGAAACATCCTAGGCACAAACCAATGGCAAGTTAGTGCTAGCCACCAGTCAGCTAGATGGTTGTAGAGAGTAACCTCTAGAAGCGCAGTAGGCCTAAACCTTCGGAATGTCTCGAGTGACCATGAGGGTTTTATATTGCTGGATATGCGATGCACAATTAAGTTGAACATAAGAGGATACATTAAATCTCAGATGCAATTCAACGTATTTTAATTGGGTGCGGGATAGCAACTAAAAACAATGCTCAGCCCGACAACCAAGCCAGAACCCCTCCTTAAGAAATTAGCTGAAAGTCCGCTTAAGTCAGGACCTTGGACACAACTACACATTTGATATGCGTAGCATACACGGTGGAGTGTCTGATGGTTCGCACCACTCAAGAGAAACATCATGGTGTGCGTGCAGCCACACATACGGCCAGTCATTTTTGGTCCATACATCTATGATCACGTGAGAGATGAAAGCTCCAGCATAAAGGGGGTTTGCTGACATATACGTCCTAGTAGTTGAAACCAAAAGTATCTGCTTCCGATAGACTGGACGTTGTATTAATAATAAGCCGATTCTAGAACACATCTACGGGGCTCTGTGTACGTAGCCAGGATCGGGCAATTTGACGCGATAGCACAAACATGACTGCAGTCACTGTGAATCCAGCTTATCAGACCTCCAGGCGAGACAGCTTTGATAAACCTCTTGCGTCACGCACGCTTCGGCTTTCTGGCCCAGAGTTGGCGATGGGTGGAATGACAAACACACGTTCGTGTCGTTTCCTTTTATACCGATATGTTTTGTGCTCCCACTGCACACCTCATGAAATCCTTGTGGGCATCTTCTAGAGCTTTGACCAAAGTATCCAGATGTCAAAGGTTTTGTTTGCAAGTGTTTCGTTTCTTTGTGTTCAAATGACCACGTAAAAGCTGCTTCGGAATCCCGTCTCTATCCACTGGGGAAACACCTTTCAGCCGATGCGGGCGGTTGAATGTGACTGTGATTTTCATTCCATCACAAAGTACCCTTTGAAGGAATTCCGTGTTCGACACTCCTTTGGTCGGGTGAGCATTAGCGTCGTAGGTTGCGGCGGTTCGTGGTTAGCGTTTCAGTTCCTTACAGAGGGACAAATGGAGCCAACACCCTATGGAAGTACAGTTTAGTCCCCGGTCTCAGTTTCTGTTTAGGCGCAGTCCACTTCTCGAGTTTGCCGAAGGTCACACCAGCCTTGGAAACACAATGGCTCAGTTTACGGCCGGCGGTTGAGCCAGCAAGCAGTAGGCTTGCGAGGCAGCAGAAGTCCACACAGCAGTCCTAAATGTCCGTTCTAGTCTTGATGCACACAGAATTGTTGGAGATTGCACATAAGACGGACTGGTGCAGAAGACATTTTTAC